GACGGCACATGTTCCCTTGCAGGTAACCATGGTTAACAGAGGAAGAACAATGATTTCAAGCACCACCCTCCTTTTAAAGCTTCCAGTCTGTTATTCTAACTCAATCAGCATGACAGAGTGATCTCCAGCCTTGTCCTCATCAACACTCTCACCTGTGTTGGCGAGAGAATCACTGACATGATGGCAGCTGGTCCTTTTGTGACAGGGCTGAAATGCAGTGGAAATGTTTTCATGGCAAAGAGGGACTTTGCAATTAATTGCAATTCATTTGATCACTCTTCATGACATTCTGGAGTAAATGCAAATTGCCATCATCAAAACTGAGGCAGCAGACTTTGTGAAAATTAGTATTTGTGTCATTCTCAAAACTTTTGACCATGACTGTAGTGTCCGAACAGTTTAAGCTACACACTAATGTGACCCCTCTGTGTAAAGGTGAGACTCACGAACACATACGTCAGTTGTTTCGCTCACAGGCCTCACAAGACTGGGGGCTGGGGGCATAATAACTAAAGGCTGTCACTTCCGTTTCGAGCGCGTCACTTGTCTCCGTGCTACGCTGTTTGTTGCTGCTTGGCTACCTACCAAACGTGATGTTTTTTAAACCATTGAATCTATCTTCATTTAACACATTTTACCAATGTCTTAGTTATTTTTATATTTTTTACTTGCTCAACTTTTTTCATTCAACATTTTCACCCCGGAAGCTTTATCTGGACATGGTTCTACAGGACCTCCACCAGCCAAAGCTAAGTAGTAACATTAACACTGTGCCATCTAATTGCAGTCGCTGTACTCATAATATACAGGAGAACTACCGCCTTATGGTGAGGATAGCCGTGCTGCAAGCCTAGTTTCAGACACAATTGTTAGGCAAGGGCAATGTAAGTGTAGGAAAGGGTGAAACAGCGTCTGTGCCACCAGTAAGTACATATAGTAGTATAAATCCCCTCGCACAGTCCCCGCAGCTGGACAATTTTCTCAAGGCTTCTGGAAAGAAATGCTGTCGGCATGCTCAACCGGTGTCGCTCATTCAGCCGACAGAAACTTTCAACCGGTTCTCCCCATTAACCCTCCCGTTGTCCTAGGGTCAAAATGACCCGCCACTGTGTTGAACCAACTTTATTTAATTTTTATATTTTTTGGATCATTTGTGTGAAGGAGGCAGTGATACTTTCTTTAAAGTCTCACTGCCTCCTTCTCACAAATGATCCAAAAAATATAAAAATTAAATAAAGTTGGTTCAACACAGTGGCGGGTCATTTTGACCCTAGGACAATGGGAGGGTTAAGTAACAAGTCGGAGTCAGAGGCCGAGCCTTCTCAGGTCTCTCCTCCACCCGTTACGGGCTCTGAGCCACCGAAGCCTCTCACCATTAGCTCGGACAAATTGAAAACCCTAGTAATTGACGACTCTATTACCCGCAATATTAGACTTAAAAATAATCATCCAGCGATCATACACTGTTTACCAGGGGGCAGAGCTACCGACGTAAAGGCTAATCTGAAGATGGTGCTGGCTAAGGCAAAAACTGGCGAGTGTAGAGAGTATAGGGATATTGTTATCCACGTCAGCACCAACGATGTTAGGATGAAACAGTCAGAGGTCACCAAGAGCAACATAGCTTCAGAGTGTAAATTAGCTAGAAAGATGTGTCGGCATCAAGTAATTGTCTCTGGCCCCCTCCCAGTTAGGGCGAGTGATGAGCTCTACAGCAGAGTCTCACAACTCAATCGCTGGTTGAAAACTGTTTTCTGCCCCTCCCAAAAGATAGCATTTGTAGATATTTGGCCCTCTTTCTGGGACTCACCCACAAACAGGACCAAGCCCAGCCTGCTGAGGAGTGACTGACTCCATCCTAACTGGAGGGGTGCTCTCATCTTATATATCTACATAGACAGGGCTCTAACTCCTCTAGCTCCACAATGAGATAGGGTGCAGGCCAGGCAGCAGGCTGTCCCCAGTCCACCTAGTCGTGCTGCTGCTCCAGTTTCCACTCTTCTGCCTGCGGCTATGGAACCCTGACCTGTTCACCGGACGTGCTACCTTGTCCCAGACCTGCTGTTTTCAACTCTCTCTCTCTCTACCGCACCTGCTATTTCAACCTCTAAATGACCAGGTATGAAAAGCCAAGTGACATTTACGCCTGATGTACTGACCTGTTGCAAACTCTATTATTTAACCCTGCTGGTCAACTATGAACGTTTGAACATCTTGGAGAAAAATCTGGCCTTAATGGCCATGTACTGTTATAATCTCCACCCGGCACAGCCAGAAGGGGGCCACCCCTCAGATCCTGGTTCCTCTCTAGATTTCTTCCTAGGTTTCTGCCTTTCTAGGGAGTTTTTCCTAGCCACCGTGCTTCTACATCTGCATTGCTTGCTGTTTGGGGTTTTAGGCTGTTTCTGTATAGCACTTTGTGACATCTGCTGATGTAAAAAGGGCTTTATAAATGAAATTTGATTGATGGTCTGAAGGTCCCCCTTTACTAGTTTAAAAAATGAATGGAAGTATACAGTATGTATGGAGACTGTTTAGTGCTAAAAATAAGGGGTTAAATACAAATGTTTCCTGATCTTTCTTGTATAGTTGAAGTCAGAAGTTTACATACAGATTCTTTCACTTATAATTCACTGTATCACAATTAAAGTGAGTCGGAAGTTTGACTGTGCCTTTGAACAGCTTGGAAAATTCCAGAAAATGATGTCATGGCTTTAGAAGCTTCTGATAGGCCAATTGACATCATTTGAGTCAATTGGAGGTGTACCTGTGGATGGATTTCAAGGCCTACCTTCAAACTCACCGCCTCTTTGCTTGACATCATGGGAAAATCAAAAGAAATCAGCCAAGACCTCTGAAAAAATTGGTAGTCTGGTTCATCCTTGGGAGCTATTTCCAAATGCCTGAAGGTACCACGTTCATCTGTACAAACAACAGTATGCAAGTTTAAACACCATGGGACCACGCAGCCGTCATACCGCTCAGGAAGGAGACGCGTTCTGTCTCCTAGAGATGAACGTACTTTGGTGCGAAAAGTGCAAATCAATCCCAGAACAAAAGCAAAGCACCTTGTGAAGATGCTGGAAGAAACATGTACAAAAGTATCTATATCCACAGTAAAACGAGTCCTATGTCGACATAACCTGAAAGGACGCTCCGCAAGGAAGAAGCCACTGCTCCAAAACCGCACATGGGAACAAAGATCATACTTTTTGGAGAAATGTCCTCTGGTCTGATGAAACAAAAATAGAACTGTTTGGCCATAATGACCATCGTTGTGTTTGGAGGAAAAAGGGGGTGGCTTGCAAGCCGAAGAGCACCATCCCAACCGTGAAGCACGGGGGTGGCAGGATTATGCTGTGGTGGTGCTTTTCTGCAGGAGGGATAGTGCACTTCACAAAATAGATGGCATTATGAGGAAGGAAAACGATGTGGATATATTGAAGCAACATCTCAAGACATCATTCAGGAAGTTAAAGCTTGGTCGCAAATGGGTCTTCCAAATGGACAATGACCCCAAGCATACTTCCAAAGTTGTGGCAAAATGGCTTAAGGACAACAAAGTCAAGGTATTGGAGTGGCCATCACAAAGCCCTTTTTTCAATCCTATAGAAAATGTGTGGGCAGAACTGAAAAAGCAAGTGTGTGTGCAAGGAGGCCTACAAACCTGACTCAGTTACACCAGCTCTGTCAGGAGGAATGGGCCAAAATTCACCCAACCTATTGTGGGAAGCTTGTGGAAGGCTACCCAAAACGTTTGACCCAAGTTAAACAATTTAAAGGCAATCCTGCCAAATACTAATTTAGTGTATGTAAACTTCTGACCCACTGGGAATGTGATGAAAAAAATAAAACTGAAATAAATCATTCTCTCTACTATTATTCTGACATTTCACATTCTTAAAATAATGTGGTGATCCTAAATGACCTAAGACAGGGAATTTTTACTAGGATTAAATGTCAGGAATTGTGAAAAACTCAGTTTAAATGTATTTGGCTAAGGTGTATGTATACTTCCGACTTCAACTGTATCTCTCATAGATAGGACAGACACTTCAGAACAAACTTCCTTTAGATTTTTTTGGGGGGGACTATCTGTTGTTCCATGTAGTGAATCTGTTATTCAATATATTCTTTCGATACCTTGAAGTATCAAAAGAAAATATAAACTATTATTTGATGAAAAATTGTATTTAGCCTTACTGCTATTAGCCCATACAAACACATTGAATAACAGCTAAAACAATTTTGATACTTAAAGTGGTCTTAAAATTCGAAATCCAATAGCTAAATTATCCTTGGTATGATCTTCTTAAAACAATTCCATATAGCTTAGTAGAACCCCACCCCCTCCCCCGGCGTAGACAGGGCTTAGACTCTTATGGGTTAGTATGTTTGCTAATATAAACAAAACGTGCAGGCAGGTAGAAAAATAAAGCACTATCTGGCGTAAAAGGAAAATAACTAGGGAAACTCAATTTCCTGAGAAGTTGTGCAAAAGCTGCCTCTTTTGGGGCTTGTTGGGGAACATATAAAAAAAAAATTCTATTGTATTTCTAAAATCAGTTGGTTAGTTTTCACCCTTGTTTTTCGTTTCGATTTCAATATAAATATTGTTTTCATAGTTCTAAAAACTGTACACCAACAGGTTATTCATGTTATAATCAACTACTTCTGCTTTAACAATGAACCCATAGGACATAGCAACAGATATTCGCCCACTTTACTTGGACAAACTAGTCTAAACAGCAGGATTTGCTTTAAAGGATATTTGTATTTTCTCTTTCCAAATCCACATTTTTATTATATATTTTTTCTGCACAAAAAAACTGTTTGAAAAAGATGACCACTATGGTTGGACCAGATGAACTGTAATAGACCTCTGTGAGTCTGTCTGTTTCATGGCAGCTGTTTGGAACCTATGAGGCTTCAACTCCATTCCTCTTTGGACGAATGAAGACCAGGTTCTATGGTTCGACAGAGAGCTCTGTGGGGCGGGGCTACAACTGGTCGTTGGGGTGCTGCTCTCTGTCTGACTCTGCTTTGCCTGGCTGGCCCGGTGAAGGGGCGTGAGGGGGGTGGGCGACGCTGGGCAGGCTGTGTGTTATGGGCACGGCATTAGGAACAATTTCCTCTATAGGCGGAGGGAGCCCCCCAGAGGCCAAACTCACAACACCAGGAGGGTACCTGGGACAAGGAGAGGATGAGTCAGAAAATGCTATAGCACTTGTAAATGCATATACAGTACCGGTATCTACTTGTTATTATGTATCAACAGTGGGTGCATTACCAGGGTTGTGGGTTCGATTCCCACGGGCGGCCAGTATGAAAATGTATGCACTTACTAACTGTAAGTCGCTCTGGATCAGAGCGTCTGCTAAATTACTAAAATGTAAATATGTAATTACCTATAGGCCCCATTGAGCTCAGGATGAATGACAGCAGGGTCCATATTGACCCAGTGAGTAGTCTGGGACAGGAACTCTTTATTCACACAGTTCTTTAGGCTGTCTGGAATATGACCTGGAAGCAGGAAACAGTCATTCATGAAGCACAACGCGGTTATTAGGGAGTTTGTTATTGTGGCTTTGCTGTTGTTTATTAGTGAGAGGGGAGCCTGGGAGCCTGATACATTGCCCATTGGGGAAAACAATAATCAACCCAAGAATACCCATTATTAGTGTAACAGGTATGTTACCTGAAATGGCTCGTCGGATCTCCCGGGCTGCCTCCTCTCTCATCTCAATAGAAGCCTGTTCACTGTACCAGGCAGCATGGGGAGTACATATCAGGTTAGGAGCATCTTTCAGAGGTCCCTGGCTGAAGCTGAGAAAAAGGAAACATGGTTTCTAATAATTAGACTCACCTCAACACAGTGGGAAATAAATATTAGCAAAATTAAGACAGTATAAGATAGAAGAATGTAAAGAGTGCTAACCCGAAGGGCTCTGTCTCGTGGACGTCCAGGGCCGCCCCTCGTATCCTCCCCTCTTTCAGGGCCTGTGCCAGAGCCTTCTCATCAACCAGCCCCCCTCTGGTCGTGTTAACCAGGAACGCACCCTGGCGCATCTACAACACACCATTTAAAATATGTAAACAATGCAGTACACAACCGTAAATGAAATGTCTAGTAGGTTTAGGTTTGATTTATTTGCTCCAAATAAAATAAGTGATAAACAACAATAAAGATAAAAAAAAAATTAAAAAAAACGGTGTGCAGGTGTGGTTGAAAGGCTAAGGGCTTATATAAAAAACACACCACAAAAAACAATATTCAATACATAAGTAAAAACAGATAACAAAACCCACTAATCATAAATGTACAAATGAACGGATCAACAATCACAAAAACATTTTTTAAAGTGTGTGCGCATGTGTGGATGTGAGTGTGTGAGAATTGGGCTATATGGAGAAGATTACTGAGTAGTTTGGTTCATCAGGCTGACCCCATGTCTTCGCTTGAAGTTATTGTGGGAAGATGAGGTTTTGGCAATGTGAGGATAAGAATTCCAGAGTATTTGATAGAGAATTGACTATGTGAGGTGCGGCATTGGGGAGGGTGAAGGTTATCGCAGTGTTACAGTTGAAGTCTGAAGTTTACATACACCTTCGCCAAATACATTTAAACTCAGTTTTTCACAATTCCTGACATCTAATCCTAGTAAAAATTCCCTGTCTTAGGTCAGTTTATTTTAAGAATGTGAAATGTCAGAATAAAAGTAAAGAGAATGATTTATTTCAGCTTTTATTTCTTTCATCACATTCCCAGTGGGTCAGAAGTTTACATACACACAATTAGTATTTGGTAGCATTGCCTTTAAATTGTTTAACTTGGGTCAAACGTTTTGGATAGCCTTCCACAAGCTTACCACAATAATTTGGGTGAATTTTGGCTCATTCCACCTGACAGAGTTGGTGTAACTGAGTCAGGTTTATAGGCCTCCTTGCTCTCACACGCTTTTTCAGTTCTGCCCACAAATTTCCTATAGGATTGAGGTCAGGGCTTTGTGATGGCCACTCCAATACCTTTTGCTTCAATATGTCCACATAATTTTCCTTCCTCATAATGCCATCTATTTTGTGAAGTGCACCAGTCCCTCCTGCAGCAAAGCACCCCCACAGCATGATGCTGCAACCCCCATGCTTCATGGTTGGGATGGTGTTCTTCGGCTTGCAAGCAACCCCCTTTTTCCTCCAAACATAACGATGGTCATTATGGCCAAACAGTTATATTTTTGTTTCATCAGACCAGAGGACATTTCTCCAAAAAGTACGATCTTTGTCCCCATGTGCAGTTGCAAACCGTAGTCTGGCTTTTTTATTGCGGTTTTGGAGCAGTGGCTTCTTCCTTGATGAGCGGCCTTTCAGGTTATGTCGATATAGGACTCGTTTTACTGTGGACATAGATACTTTTGTACCTGTTTTCTCAAGTATCTTCAAATCAAGTCAAATCAAATTGTATTTTTCACATACACGTGTTTAGCAGATGTTATAGCGGGTGTAGCGAAATGCTTGTGATTCTAGCTCCGACAATGCAGTAATATTTAACAATTTCACAGGAATGAGATTTAAGAATATATACATACAGAAGGGAGAACAAATATTTGATACACTGCCGATTTTGCAGGTTTTCCTACTTACAAAGCATGTAGAGGTCTGTAATTTTTATCATAGGTACACTTCAACTTGTATGATTTTTAAGTAATTAATTTACATTTTATTGCATGACATAAGTATTTGATCACCTACCAACCAGTAAGAATTCCGGCTCTCACAGACCTGTTAGTTTTTCTTTAAGAAGCCCTCCTGTTCTCAACTCATTAACTGTATTAACTGCACCTGTTTGAACTCGTTACCTGTATAAAAGACACCTGTCCACACACTCAATCAAACAGGCTCCTACCTCTCCACAATGGCCAAGACCAGAGAGCTGTGTAAGGACATCAGGGATAAAATTGTAGACCTGCACAAGGCTGGGATGGGCTACAGGACAATAGGCAAGCAGCTTGGTTGAGAAGGCAACAACTGTTGGCGCAATTATTAGAAAATGGAAGAAGTTCAAGATGACGGTCAATCACCCTCGGTCTGGGCCTCCATGCAAGATCTCACCTTGTGGGGCATCAATGATCATGAGGAAGGTGAGGGATCAGCCCAGAACTACACGGCAGGACCTGGTCAACGACCTGAAGAGAGCTGGGACCACAGTCTCAAAGAAAACCATTAGTAACACACTACGCCGTCATGGATTAAAATCCTGCAGCGCACGCAAGGTCCCCCTGCTCAAGCCAGTGCATGTCCAGGCCCATCTGATGTTTGCCAATGACCATCTGGATGATCCAGAGGAGGAATGGGAGAAGATCATGTGGTCTGATGAGACAAAAATATAGCTTTTTGGTCTAAACTCCACTTGCCGTGTTTGGAGGAAGAAGAAGGATGAGTACAACCCCAACAACACCATCCCAACCGTGAAGCATGGAGGTGGAAACATCATTCTTTGGGGATGCTTTTCTGCAAAGGGGACAGGACGACTGCACCGTATTGAGGGGAGGATGGATGGGGCCATGTATCGCGAGATCTTGGCCAACAACCTCCTTCCCTCAGTAAGAGCATTGAAGATGGGTCGTGGCTGGGTCTTCCAGCATGACAACGTCCCGAAACACACAGCCAGGGCAACTAAGGAGTGGCTCGGTAAGAAGCATCTCAAGGTCCTGGAGTGGCCTAGCCAGTCTCCAGACCTGAACCCACAAGAAAATCTTTGGAGGGAGCTGAAAGTCCGTATTGCCCAGCGACAGCCCCGAAACCTGAAGGATCTGGAGAAGGTCTGTATGGAGGAGTGGGCCAAAATCCCTGCTGCAGTGTGTGCAAACCTGGTCAAGACCTACAGGAAACGTATGATCTCTGTAATTGCAAACAAAGGTTTCTGTACCAAATATTAAGTTCTGCTTATCTGATGTATCAAATACTTATGTCATGCAATAAAATGCAAATTAATTACTTTAAAATCATACAATGTGATTTTCTGGATTTTAGTTTTAGATTCCGTCTCTCACAGTTGAAGTGTACCTATGATAAAAATTACAGACCTCTACATGCTTTGTAAGTAGGAAAACCTGCAAAATCGGCAGTGTATCAAATACTTGTTCTCCCCACTGTATATAGACAAGCAATGACAGAGCGGCATGGACTAAGATACAGAAGAATATTATAGAATAGAATGCAGTATATACATATGAGATGAGTAGTGCAAGATATGTAAACATTTTTATAGTGTCTAGTGTTCCATTTCTTAAAGTGGCCAGCGATTTCAATAGGCAGCAGAAGCCTCAAATGTGCTAGTGATGGCTATTTAACAGTCTGATGGCCTTGAGATAGAAGCTGTTTTTCATTCTCTCGGTCCCAGCTTTGATGCACCTGTACTGACATCACCTTCTGGATGATAGCTGGGTGAAAAGGCAGTGGCTCGGGTGGTTGATGTCCTTGATGATCTTTTTGGCCTTCCTGTGACATCGGGTGCTGTATGTGTCTTGGAGGGCGGGTAGTTTGCCCCCGGAAATGCGTTCGGCAGACCGCACCACCCTCTGGAGAGCCCTGCGGTTGTGGGTGGTGCGGTTGCCGTACCGGGCAGTGATACAGCCCGACAGGACAGGATGCTCTCAATTGTGCATCTGTAAAAGTCTGTGAGGGTTTTAGGTGATAAGCCAAATTTCTTCAGCCTCGTTTGCACCTTCTTCACCACACTGTCTGCGTGGGTGGACCATTTCAGTTTGTCGGTGATGTGTACGCCAAGGAACTTGAAGCTTTCCACCTTCTCCACTGCGGTCCTCGTCGATGTGGATAGGGGGGTGCACCCTCTGCTGTTTCCTGAAGTCCGCGATCATCTCCTTTGTTTTGTTGATGTTGAGTGAGAGGTTATTTTCCTGGCACCACACTCCTAGATCCCTCACTTCCTCCCTGTAGGCGGTCTTGTCATTGTTGGTAATCAAGCCTACTACTGTTGTGTCGTCTGCAAACTTGATGATTGAGTTGGAGGCGTGCTTGGCCACGCAGTCATGGGTGAACAGGGAGTACAGGAGGGGGCTGAGCACGCACCCTTGTGGGGCCCCAGTGTTGAGGATCAGCGAAGTGGAGATGTTGTTTCCTACCTTCACCACCTGGGGGTGGCCCATCAGGAAGTCCAGGACCCAGTTGCACAGGGCGGGGTTCAGACCCAGGGCCTCGAGCTTATTGATGACCTTGGAGGGTACTATGGTGTTGAATGCTGAGCTATAGTCAATGAACAGCATTCTTACATAGGTATTCCTCTTGTCCAGATGGGATAGGGCAGTGTGCAGTGTGATGGCGCTTGCATCGTCTGTGGATCTATTGGGGCGGTAAGCAAATTGAAGTGGGTCTAGGGTGACAGGTAAGGTAGAGGTGATATGATCCTTGACTAGTCTCTCAAAGCACTTCATGATGACAGAGGTGAGTGCTACAGGGCGATAGTCATTTAGTTCAGTTACCTTTGCTTTCTTGGTTACAGGAACAATGGTGGCCCTCTTGAAGCATGTGGGAACAGCAGACTGGGAAAGGGAGAGATTGAATATGTCCATGAACACACCATCCAGCTGGTCTGCACATGCTCTGAGGACGCGGCTAGGGATGCCGTCTGGGCTGGCAGCCTTGCGGGGGTTAACATGCTTAAATGTCTTAATCACTTTGGCCATGGAGAAGGAGAGGTCACAGTCCTTGGTAGTGGGCCTCGTCAGTGGCACTGTGTTATCCTCAAAGCGGGTGAAGAAGGTGTTTAGCTTGTCTGGAAGCGAGACGTTGATGTCGGCGATGTGGCTGGTTTTCTTTTTGTAGTCCGTGATTGTCTGTAGAACCTGCCACATACATCTCGTGTCTGAGCCGTTGAATTGCAACTCCACTTTGTCTCTATACTGATGTTTTGCCAGTTTAATTGCCTTGCGGATTGAGTAGCTGCACTGTTTGTATTCTGCCATATTCCCAGTCACCTTGCCATGGTTGAATGCGGTGGTTCGCGCTTTCAGATTTGCGCGAATGCTGCCATCTATCCACGGTTTCTGGTTAGGGTAGGTTTTAATAGTCACAGTGGACACAACATCACCTATACACTTCCTGATAAACTCAGTCACTGTTTCAGTGTATATGTCTAAATTATTTTCGGAAGCTACCCGGAACATATCATGGGTCCGCATGATCAAGACAATCTTGAAGCGTGGATTCTGATTGGTCAGACCAGCGTTGAATAGTCCTTGGCACAGGTACTTCCTGTTTGAGTTTCTGCCTATAGGAAGGGAGAAGCAAAATGGAGTCGTGGTCAGATTTGCCGAAAGGAGGGCAGAGGAGGGCCTTATAACCATCCCGGAAGTTTGAATAGTAATGGTCGAGGATTTTAGCAGTGCGAATACAACAGTCGATATGTTGATAGAACTTCGGCAGCCTAGTCCTCAAATTTGCTTTGTTAAAATCTGCGGCTACAATAAATGCAGCCTCAGGATATGTGGTTTTCAGTTTGCATAAGGTTCAGTGAAGTTCTTTGAGGGTCCTTGTGGTATTTTTTTTTTTTTTTTTTTTTTTTTCACCTTTATTTAACCAGGTAAACCAGTTGAGAACAGGTTCTCATTTACAACTGCGACCTGGCCAAGATAAAGCAAAGCAGTGCAATAAACACAGAGTTACATATGGGGTAAAAAAATGCTAGATGTGACTGGAATGCTAGATGTGCAAGAGATTATGTGCAAATAGAGATACTGGGGTGCAAAAGAGCAAAATAAATAACAATATAGGGATGAGGTAGTTGGGTGAGCTAATTTCAGATGGGCTGTGTACAGGTGCAGTGATCGGTAAGGTGCTCTGACAACTGATGCTTAAAGTTATTGAGGGAGATAAGAGTCTCCAGCTTCAGAGATTTTTGCAATTCGTTCCAGTCATTGGCAGCAGAGAACTGGAAGGAATGGCGGCCAAAGGAGGTGTTGGCTTTGGGAATGACCAGTGAGATATACCTGCTGGAGCGCAGACTACGGGTGGGTGCTGCTATGGTGACCAATGAGCTAAGATAAGGCGGGGATTTGCCTAGCAGTGATTTATAGATGGCCTGGAGCCAGTGGGTTTGACGACGAACATGTAGTGAGGACCAGCCAACAAGAGCGTACAGGTCACAGTGGTGGGTAGTGTATGGGGCTTTGGAGACAAAACGGATGGCACTGTGATAGACTACATCCAATTTGCTGAGTAGAGTGTTGGAGGCTATTTTGTAAATGACATCGCCGAAGTCAAGGATCGGTAGGATAGTCAGTTTTACGAGGGCATGTTTGGCAGCATGAGTGAAGGAGGCTTTGTTGCGAAATAGGAAGCCGATTCTAGATTTAACTTTGGATTGGAGATTCTTTATGTCTGGAAGTTGAGTTTACAGTCTATCGGCTTGATGGGGGATATACACGGCCGTGACTATAACCGAAGAAAATTATCTTGGGAGATAATACGGTCGGCATTTGATTGTGAGATATTCTAGGTCGGGTGAACAGAGGGACTCGAGTTCTTCTATGTTACTACAATTACACCACGCGTTGTTAATCATGAAACACACACCGCCGCCCTTCTGCTTCCTGGAGAGATATTTATTCCTTTCTGTGTGATGAACTGAGAACCCATCTGGCTGGACCGATTCTGACAGAATATCCCAAGAGAGCAATGTTTCCGTGAAACAGAGTATATTACAGGCCTTGATGTCTCTCTGGAAAGAAATCCTTGCCCGTAGTTTGTCGACTTTGTTAACCAAAGATTGAACATTAGCGAGTAGAATACTTGGAACCGGTGGGTGGTGTGCGCGCCTCCTAAGTCGGACCAACAGGCCGCTCCGAGTGTCTCTCCTCCGCCGGTGATGTTTTGGGTCGGCCGCTGGAATCAGTTCAGTTGCCCTGGGGAGAGCAAACAAAGGATCTGCTTCGGGAAAGTCGTATTCCTGGTCGTAATGCTGGTGAGTTACCGCCGCTCTGATATGAAATAGTTTTTCCCAGCTGTATGTAATGATGCAAAACACTTTCTGAGCTAATAATGTAAAAAATAATACATAAAAAAACAAAATACTGCAAAGTTTCCTAAGAGCTAGTCGCGAGGCCGCCATCTTCGTCGGCGCCAGTCGAGGTCCACAAGGTCCTTTGCTGTTGTTCTGGGATTGATTAGCACTTTTCGCATCAACGTATGTTCATCTCCAGGAGACAGAACGCATCTCCTTCCTGAGCGGTATGACGGCTGCGTGGTCCCAGGCTGTTTAAACTTGCGTACTATTGTTTGTACAGATGAACTTGCTACCTTCATGCGTTTGGAAATTGCTCCCAAGGATGAACCAGACTTGTGGAGGTCTACAAAATGTTTTCTGAGGTCTTGGCTGATTTCTTTTTTTTCTCCATGATGTCAAGCAAAGAGATACTGAGTTTGAAGGTAGGCCCTGAAATACATCCACAGGTACACCTCCAATTGACTAAAATGATGTCAATTAGCCTATCAGAAGCTTCTAAAGCCATGACATCATTTTCTGGAATTTTCCAAGCTGTTTAAAGGCACAGTCAACTTAGTTTATGTAAACTTCTGACCCACTGGAATTGTGATACAGTGAAATATAAGTGAAATAATCTGCCTGTAAACAATTGTTGGAAAAATTACTTTTGACAGGTCCACAAACAAAGCAGCACATTTCATTTTAGTGTCTAAAGCTTTGACAAGATCATAAAAAACTAAAGTGGTTGCTGTAATAGTGCTATGCCCAGGCCTAAACCCTGATTGGTTTACATTCAAAATACATTTCTCAGTTAAAATAGAACAAAGTTGTACATTTACCAAGGATTCAAGAATTTTAGCTAGACAAGGAAGCCTTGAAATGGGGCGATAATTAGTAAGATCTCTACTATTCCTGCCCTTATGGAGTGGCAGCACAAGAGCTTATTTCCATACTTTTGGAATACTTCCTTAAATGTGGGTTATTGAGTCAACATTGATGGGTGCTGCACACTTAAGCAGACCGGGATCCAATTGGTCGGCCCCTGTAGATTTATTGTTGTCTATTGCTATCAAAGCATCCAGGACTTATTTTTCTGTAAATAGCCCCCCAAAAAATAATCATATCATTTCTCTGATCATTCAGCAAGTTTCGCCTATCAGCATCCAGCCCAATATCATTGTGAATAGGCTTAGAAGTTATTTCAAAGAGATGTACTTGCCACTGAGCTGCCTGTAAATCAGAGGCGAAGCCACAGCAGGGCCTGGCTGGGCAGAGGCCCTGCCAGATTGAACACTGACCCACCCAATCAGGCTGGCTTAATATATATATATATATATATATAAATGAACTTCATTTGTTGGTTGTATTGTCTCCTGACTTATTAGAACTGTTGAAAATGCAGTAGGATTTCCTGGGATCAAATTGGTTATATCGCAATCATATGGTAAATCACAAGCGCATAGCCGAGTGAGTCAGGAAGGCCGCAATTTGGCAAATATGAAATAGCTGATTGTCGAGTTGCGGCTGTCAGTGAGAAGCATCTAAAATATGCAACTGATTACAAAAAAACTGTAGCTATACTCCGTTACTTTACCAGCAAAAATATTGTAATCAGATTAGAAATACTTGAAAATATATATATATGATTACTTCTAGGGTTACTTTAAAATTCATTTCAAAATACATTTTGACACCTTCCAGTTTTTTCAATGACATTCAAATCAGCATTGAAAAAAGGTGCACATTTAAGTTTGTTCCACCTGAGTGAGTCTGACCACAAGTCAGAGACCACTATGATGACACAACAAATGTGTTTAATGGATCACAGGAAAATAGCAGAATTAGGCTTTTGTAGGCTACAGTGCAAGCTATCTTTTCCAATGGTGAGACTGCTGTCGGCATCCAAATCATGTATTATACATCCAACTTGGGGGTAAGGATGACAGCAGTGATGTGGCCTACAAGAGATACAGATATCATTTAGATTACATTTAAAAAGTACCCCCCCCCCCCCCACTTTTTAATCCAAAATTGTGCCCCTGAATTGTACAATATGTGTCCCCCTTTTTCGTAGGCCTAAATTAGATTGTGTGTGTGCATGTGCCATGTTCCTGACCTGTTTGATGGTGAAGTCATTGATGAGGTGGTGGTTGTGCTCATTGAGGCTGCAGTGGAGGGTGACACAGTCGCTGTGGAAAAGCAGGTCCTGGAGGGTGTTGACGCGCTGCAGGCCCAGGGCTCGCTCCACCCCGTCAGACAGGTATGGGTCGTAGAAGATCACGTTGAACCCAAAGGCTTTGGCTCTCAGTGCTACACCCTGGCCAACACGACCTGAGGATACACAACAACACAACATGGACATTTGAGTAATTCACAGACAAGTAAATACTATAGTTACACCAAAGGGATGCAATAAAGGTGAAATCCTTACAGCATATACCATGCCTGTTTTGTAACAATTCACAGCAAACAATGGCATACATAAAAGCTATCGAAAACACTACTGAACAAGCCCATATCTAAACAACCAATTTCCTATTCATTATACCCACAATCTTTTCTTCAGCTAATAGCTAGTTGGGTAGTGTAATACAACATTGTACTGAAAGATCTCCGACTAACCGAGGCCGATGATGCCAAGTGTCTCCCCGCGGATCCGCGCCGCCCCGGACGCCACCTCTCTGATCTGCTCCACGCTCTGTACACTAGTGCCCTCGCGCAGTGCCTGGTGGAGCCACGTGGTTCGTCTGTACAAGTTCAGGATGTGACACAGTGTGGAGTCCGCTGTCTCCTCCACCGACGCTGCTGGCATGTTACACACTGCTATCCCTATTGGTAGAGGGGACTATTGTAAACATCTACTCCTAATGTAAGGCGGGGTAATGTAAGGTAAGTATAGACGTTTACTATATCAAAAAGTTATTTTTATTATGGAGTTCTGAGCAGTTGCACTTTGTTTTAAATGGAATACCATAACATGCAGAAAATTATACAATATTTGACCTAGTGAGCCTGCAAGTCTTTCTGAGCCTGCAAGTCTTTGGGTGGACATCTGTATTAAGTCGAGAAAGAGAAGCGCAGGGCCTCACCTAAATCTCCAGCCGACTTGATGTCGATATTGTCGAAGCCGCTGCCTATGCGGACGATGATCCGAAGTGCCTTGAATTTCTCCAGGTCCTCCCTCATTAGCGTGATGGTGTGGTACATCAGAGCTCCTACAGCCTCGTTCAGTACCTGCCAACAGAAAGCTCTCAGGTTTAGTACACAGAGGACAGTTATATAGCACCCTTCAAGAAGAGAAATAGACCACTTTGAACTAATGTGTCATCAGAAGGCATTAACTGTGGCTGTGTTGTTTACTCCAAAGGCCCTGACATGGGCTCTCCGATGGGCTCTTGTAGTAGTAGCTAATCTTTCAAATAACATCAAATTTGATTGGTAACATACACATTTAGCAGATGCGGGTGTAGCGAAATGCTTGTGTTCCTAGCTCCAACAGTGCAGTAGTATCCAGTGGTGTAAAGTACTTACCTTTAAAGTACTGCTTAAGTAGTTTTTTGGGGTATCTGTACTTTACTTTACTATTTATATTTTAGGCAACTTTTACTTCCCTACAAATAATGTACCTTTTACTCCATACATTTTCCCTGACACCCAAAAGTACTCGTTACATTTTGACAGACAAATGGTCCAATTCACACACTTATCAAGAGAACATCTCTGGTCATCCCTACTGCCTCTGATCTGGCGGACTCACTAAACACCAATGCTTTGTTTGTAAATGATGTCTGAGTGTTGGAGTGTGCCCCTGGCTATCCGTATATAAAAATAAAAAACAAGACAATTGTGCCGTCTGGTTTGCTTAATATAAGGAAGTTGAAATGATTTATACTTTTACTTTTGACACTTAAGTACATTTTAGCAATGCCATTAATTTTTTATCCTTAAGTATATTTAAAACAAAATACTTGTAGACTTTTACTCAAGTAGTATTTTACTGGGTGACTTTCACTTTTACTTGAGTCATTTTCTATTAACGTATCTTTACTTTTACTCAAGAATGACAATAGAGCACTTTTTCCACCACTGGTAGTATCTAACAATTCACAATACAATACACAAATCTAAAAGTAAAATAATGGAATTAAGAAATATATCAATATTAGGATGAGCAGTGTCGGAGTGGCATTGACTAAAATACAGTAGAATAGAATACAGTATATACAGTACCAGTCAAAAGTTTGGACACACCTACTAATCAAGTTTATTTATTTTTTATTTCTTTACTATTTTCTACATTGTGTAATAATAGTGAAGACATCAAAACTATGAAATAACACATATGGAATCATGTAGTAACCAAAAAAGTGTTAAACAAATTATTCAAAAAGCCACCCTTTGCCTTGATGACAGCTTTGCACACTCTTGGTATTCTCTCAACCAGCTTCACCTGGAATGCTTTTCCAACAGTCTTGAAGGAGTTCCCACACATGCTGAGCACTTGTTAGCTGCTTTTCCTTCACTCTGCCGTCCGACTCATCCCAAATCATCTCAATTGGGTTGAGGTCGGGGGATTGTGGAGGCCAGGTCATCTGATGCAGCACTCCATCCCCCTCCTTCTTGGTAAAATAGCCCTTACACAGCCTGGAGGTGTGTTGGGTCATTGTCCTGTTGAAAAACAAATAATAGTCCCACTAAGCCCAAACCAGATGGGATGGCGTATCGCTGCAGATTGCGGGTGGTAGCCATGCTGGTTAAGTGTGCCTTGAATTCTAAATAAATCACAGACAATGTCACCAGCAAAGCACCCCCACACCATAAAACCTCCTCCTCCATGCTTTACGTTCACCCACACCGCGTCTCACAAAGACACGGCGGTTGGAACCAAAAATCACACATTTGGACTCCAGACCAAAGGGCACATTTCCACCGGTCTAATGTCCATTGCTCGTGTTTCTTGGCCCAAGCAGGTCTCTTCTTATTATTGGTGTCCTTTAGTAGTGGTTTCTTTGCAGCAATTCGACCATGAAGGCCTGATTCACACAGTCCCCTCTGAACAGTTGATGTTGAGATGTGTCTGTTACTTGAACTCTGTGAAGCATTTCATTGGACTGCTTTTTCTGAGGCTGGTAACTCTAATGAACTTGTCCTCTGCAGCAGAGGTAACTCTGGGTCTTCCATTCCTGTGGCGGTCCTCATGAGAGCCAGTTTCATCATAGCGCTTGTCGTTTCTCTTTGCTTATTTGAGCTGTTCTTGCCATAATATGGACTTGGTCTTTTACCAAATAGGGCTATCTTCTGTATACACCCCTTACCTTGTCACAACACAACTGATTGGCTCACACGCATTAAGAAGGAAATACATTCCACAAATGAACTTTTAAGAAAGCACACCTGTTAATTGAAATGCATTCCAGGTGACTACCTCATGAAGCTGGTTGAGAGAATGCCAAGACTGTGCAAAGCTGTCATCAAGGCAAAGGGTGAGATGAGTAAAGCAGTATGTAAACATTATTAAAGTGACTAGTGTTCCATTATTAAAGTGGCCAGTGATTCCATGTGTCACGTCCGTCGTGTAAAGGATTAGACCAAGGTGCAGCGTGGTATGCGTACATAGTGTTTATTATATTAAACAAAATCAAACAGAACATGACGTTCAAAAGGCTAAACATCCAACAAGCCAAACTGAAACAAGATCCCACAACATAGGTAGGCAAAATGGCTACCTAAGTATGATCCCCAATCAGAGACAACGATCGACAGCTGCCTCTGATTGGGAACCACACCCGGCCAACATAGAAATAGATAACATAGATCTACACATAGATATTCACACCCTGACCAAACCAACTAGAGATCTCTAAGTCAGGGCGTGACACCATGTCTATGTATAGGGCAGAAGCCTCTAAGGTGCAGGGTTGAGTAACCGGGTGGTAGCCGGCTAGTGATGGCTATTTAACAGTCTGATAGCCTTGAGATAGAAGCTGTTTTTCAGTCTCTCGGTCCCAGCTTTGATGCACCTGTACTGACCTCGCCTTCAGTCAGCAGGGTTGGGTAGGTTACTTTCTAAATGTAATTCATTACAGTTACTAGTTAACTGTCTAAAACTGTAATCAGTAACGTAACTTTTGTATTACCCAAACTCAGTAATGTAATCGGATTACTTTCAGTTACTTTCGATTACTTTCCCCTTAAGAGGCATTAGAAAAATACAAAAAGGATCCATAAAACCAATTTGGTGTGTCATCATAGTGGTCTCTGACTTGTGGTCAGACTCGCTCAGGTGGAACAAACTTAAACTTGCACCATTTTCAATGCTGAATTGAATGTGATTGAGAAAACAGAAAGGTGTCATTATGGATTTTTTTCTCGCAAACATCCTTTGTGAATTTAAAAGTAATCCTGGAAGTAATCATCTAGATTTTTAAAAAGTATCTGTAATCTGATTCCAAAATTTTTGCTGGTAACGTAACTGATGTGGTGGAGAAATCAGAATTAGCTAAGTAATATAGATAATTAAGATGTCTTATCTGCAGAATATTCTTATATGATTGAACTGTTGAACTCTTGATATTAGAATGTCTCCTTTCGGAGACTGCACTTCCTCCCTCATGTGGGCCTCAGTCACCTGGGGCCTAGAGAGGGGAGAGGTCAGGCTTGTCTATCACATGTCCCTGTTGCTATGCAGAATATCAGAAAGAGAATAGGGCAAAGGAGGTCAGAAGGAAACATTGTTTCCATATGTGAATATGTGTCTTTACCTATTGCAAACCATGTGAAGGGATGGCATGAGTAATGGGAACAAATCACTTGTCTCCACAATGTCTGTGTGTCAGTCGCCCCCTCCTTTGGCCTTGGGAGATTGTTCTCTCCCCTGGTTCCCTTTCTAGCAAGGTGGAAACTAAGTAACAACAAATGTCCTTCTACATTCTTAGTACTGAACAAAACAATGAGTTCTTTGTATTTGGGCCTAAGGTCTGGCACAGGATGTGTGGAGTTAGTGTCTGGAACCATTATATGTTATCTCTGAGGTTGCACCTATCCTGACCCATCCTGAGATGGTATATAACCCAGAGGCTCACTCCACTCAGTGGGCTCTCACTCTATTCACTTTGGTGTGGGCATTGTGACCAGCTCCCTTATCGATACGTTTTTAATAAAGTTAATATTATGATTGGTGATTGACCTTGTCTCTCCTCATTATTGATTAAAATATCCACCACACTGATTAAAGTATTTTTTTGGTAATCAGATTACATGTAATCAGTTACTCCCCAACCCTGTCAGTCGGTATTCTTGGTACAACACCATGGGATGTCACGCTCGAGCGATCTCTACTTGAAGGATATACAACCACGCCTGACAAGGCCAATGAAAACCGCACCTCACCGGAAGCCCCACCTTTCACAGGTGATACCCCAAGGCTCTGATTAATTCATTTAATTCTCTACTCTTCACTTCATACTGAGCAAGAGAAACAAACATTTCTGGAACACAAGAGGCTCTGACTTTGCGCCAGCTAAACTCTCCACTTGGGTAGTCTGTGCACCTCCTACAGGCGTTGTGCACTGAGAGTTGGTATTTGTTCGCTAAAGTTTCCAAACCTGATCTAGCTTTGAATAAGCTGGCTAAAGATGAGACCAGTCCGTGACAGCATTTCCAACGACTGCGCGCAAACTCCTTGGATAGATGTGTATCATTCTTAAGAAAGCTTGGGGTCGCTGTTGAACATTTCCCTCTCCTGGATGCCAGTGCCTCGGCCGAGGTGTGGAATGCGGGGAGGGACATGGGGTTGTGGTCTGAGCAGATGGAGCTATCTACCCAGCAGGGCTACAATGACCCGCCGTGGAGAGACTCCAGCCGAGACGATTACGACTACGGGAGAAGAAAGGGCAGATGCGGCACATCTGACAGAGCAGGACCGGACGCGAATTAGAGGGAAGAGTGCAGCAGAGGCAATTTGGAACACCGTAGGAGAAAGGGAGACAGCGGCGCTAACAGAGGACCATCTGCGGGTACAGATACAAGGAGTTCTACCATCGAGAGCAAGTAACAACATGGCCATGTTCCCAGGAAAAACACTGCAGATCATCTGGTCTGCTCGAAGCGGATCGGACCATGGGCTTCTGCTCAGCTAAAGGTTTGAATTTGATGCATCTGAATGTCCGTAGCCTTGTTCCCAAAATCAACGAGATTCGAATGCCTATAGGCAGTAGCAATGCAGGGATTGTGTGCTTTACGGAGACATGGCTGGACTGTTCTGTTAATGATTCTGAAATTGAAATTGAGAATTACAAGGTTTTGAGAAAATAATGCAACCCTAACGGTGGGGGAGTCTGTGTTTACATAAGAGCGAACAGTTGTTTTAACCTGAGACTTGATTTTAAGATTATCTATGAGCAAATTAAAATGTACTGTACATATCAAATAACGGTCTAATGTATGATTTGAAGTTCGGTTTTTAGAAATTCACATTCAACTGATACATGTTTACTGTATTTAACCAACCCTGGCATTGCAAGCGCCATGCTCTACCAACTGAGCTACACGGGGCCCCGAACAGGTTTGCTGTTCACTTGCGCTATATAAGATGGAAGGGAGTTCCATGCACTCATGGCTCTGTATAATACTGTACGTTTCCTTGAATTTGTTCTGGACCTGGGGACTGTGAAAAGACTCCTGGTGGCATGTCTGGTGGGGTATTTGTGTGTGTAAGTTGACTATGCAAACAATTTTGAATTTCCAACACATTCAAGTTTCTTATAAAAACAAGAAGTGATGCAGTCAGTCTTTCCTCAACTCTTAGCCAAGAGAGACTGGCATGCAGAGTATTAATATTCGCCCTCTGATTACAATGAAAAGCGAGACGTGCGGCTCTGTTTTGGGCCAGCTGCAGCTTAAATAGGTCTTTCTTTGCAGCACATGACCATATGACTGGACAATAATCAAGATACGATAAAGCTAGAGCCTGCAGGACTTGCTTTGTGGAGTGTGGTGGTAAAAACCAAGATCATCTCTTTATTACGGACAGACCTTTCCCAATCTTTACAACCATTGAATCTATATGTTTTGACCATGACAGTTTACAACATAAGGTAACACCAAGTACAGTGAGGGTGTGGTGTCTAAGGAATGTATGACTTTGCTAACATTTGCAAATGGTATCTTGGAGGATGTTGATTCAGCTTAGGGAAGCAACTGGGGAGCAGTTTTATAGGGGCAATCTAGAACAGAGGAAGTCTGTTGTGTGGAGTCATGGGATTGGTCTCTAGGGGATTTCACCCATATCATGGTAAAGATTATAAATACTTGGTGGGGACAAAGGAGGACAGAACAAAATATTATTTTGAGTCCGTTGTTCTCCAGATGCCTGCAAATGTCTGTGAATTTACACTGAAATCTTGTGATATAAACAAACCTTTATAATCAAAGTACAGTGTAAGCGGACTCCTTGGTCTCACAGCAAAATTAGCATCATATTTTTAGATACCACAGAATGGCGACGAGGAACGTTTGGGGCGTGATGCGTCTCTCCAGTGTTCCATTCATGAGCTGCGAAGTGACTCCCGCTCAAGACGTCGGCTCATAAGGTGAGATTTCTCAAAATTTTTGTGCGCTGGTCGGTTCGCTTGCTTATGGGTGTGTGCGCTGGAGAAATGTACCGTTTAAAAGACTTATGTGTGCAAATTTTGCTGTTATTTGCTGTGGGATAGGAGTCCTTTCTAAAATTCTAAATTTGTTTGTGCTGGTAACACGCAAACAGGGGGGAGTGTCTATAACTATTGAAGAATAGAATGAAGGAATAAGGCCAAGGAAAATGTATACAAATTAGGACATTGCGGATCTATGGAAGCCCTCAAACGAGGCGATCATTAGGATGGGCCGAAAATCCTAAAAGCGCATTAGGTGAATTTAGGTATGTCCCGGGGACTTGGGGTTGTGGTATATACATTCGATTGCAAGTTACCGCTCAACTTATGGTTGACAAACTATATGTTTGATATAACCGCTCATTGAATATCCGCGAACTCGTGGTAGCATAAATTTAGGAACAATGAAAAAACGGCGCAATGGAGGTAGAATGCTGCCTTAGGGGTCCGTAGGAACGGAAAAAGCCTCTTAAACTGTGTATGTGTGTGTGTGTGTGGGAGAGAGAAAAATGGTGGAGTGGAGACGTCTCTGTTGTGTCTGAGCTGTGTGTCGACTCATGTTGGGATGGGATTTGTGTTGGAGATCTTGTGAGTCTCCGTGGGTGAGAACGTTGGTGGTTGTTAACTATATGTGAGCCCCTGGAAGGACGTTAAGGTTAAAAAATGTTATGACTCTCTATAAAAAGAGAACGTTTACTAACTATTAGAATATCATGAGCCTACAGGGAGGAATTTTTAATAGTGTATAGAGATGTTTTGTAATGGATAAGAAAATAACTATAAATCTGCAGATTAGGATAAAGTGACGTTAAGAAACTTCAAAGTAGGATTTGTGTTCCATGTTTTATGTTGGTTTGTGAGCTCTGTTAAGTGTTACTGTTTGCCTCATGAAGAACGGAGGTAAAGTTGGTGTGTCTACTTTCTGTTGTTTAGCTGGGAGAGAGCTCCATCCACTCTGAAATCGTATTGGTGAATGAACTACGCATGCGTGGGATTTTATGAGTTTAGAGTTACGTAGGGCAAATATGCCACTCCCCTGCCTGCACTGAGCTGCTGGGAGACGCAGACTCAGAGCGGACAGAGAGGGTGGAGGAGATTTAAACACTAATAACGTGTTCTGTTTGTTAAATAGGCTGTTGCTTAACGATGAAACTATTTGATTGAGATCTATTGAATTGATAAATGAGAGAGATATGTTGACGGATTAAAAATAAAAATAATTAAATAAATAAATAAAATGAAATGTTATTGAGTTATTTATACTATTCCTGAGTTAAGTTGTTTGCTTATTTCTTAGAGCGAATGTGACTAGAGGAATATTGAATGGTTGAAATAACTCAGTGAGTGCATAAACTACTAAATTATTGTCTGTTCTTTGTTCTTCTGTGATATGAGAGACGATGGTCATTGGGTGCTTATTAAGCAATTGGTTTGTGAGTGCTGTAGTGTTGCTGGATTATAGGTCTTTCTTTTTTGGATTGCTCTGAAGTTGACTACTTTCCTTTACTTTTCCTGATCGGATGTGGTAAGATTGCCACTAATTAATAAATTGGTAAAATAAATAAATAAATAAAAATTTAAAAATTAAAAAAAAATAAAAAAAAAATAAAGGGAGGGAACCATAAGCTATATAGTCTAAAATAATAAAATAATTCACAATAAAGGAATATAAAAGAGTTGTTACAATGGGGAAAAAAGGACATCAAAACTATGAAAGTAATTACTCCTGTTGATGTAGTTCAAAATAGTAATCCTCTAGTTAATGGTGTTGCAAGGTTATCTGGAAAATGGAATAAACGTTGGCGTGACATTGAACAACCATGGCTAGTGGAAGGGATTCTTAACCCTGACGTCATCAACATGATGAAGATGAACGAATAACAGAGAGAGGACAAGCAGAAACGACCATAAAATATGAATCCAAACTCCAAAAGTAAGAAGAAAACGAGATGTCTGGAAACTAAGGGTGGAGTGAGGTTCAGGAGGATGGAACTTGAAGATGATGATGATGATGATGATGATGATGATGATCAGAGTGATTCAGAAGAGATCATGGTTGGATATGACTCTGTGATCAGACGGAGGTTGGCCAGAGCGGAAAGAAGGGGTGTTTGAAGAAGAAGAATACAAGATATTGTAG